CAAATATTTGTAATAGATTTGAGTTGTTTTAGTTACCGAGGGACCTCGTCTCCTTGTCCACATTATTTGATTATTATTATATTCCAATTATAGTGTCCGACTCACTTGCAAACCCATTGAACTGCGACCTCTTCATCAACCGCCTGGCTAAGAATTCTCAACCGTTTACAGGTAGCGTACTCGTTTAATCTAAAGCTAAGTACATATCGCACATAAAAGATATATTGAGGGCTGCATAAATTGTATTTCAAGCTTACGTTTTAAGGAAAACAATAGCAGTTATTATCATCGTGAAGGTACAGGTTGGGCATATTGTCGACATACGGGCATAGTCAACGTTTGTTTGGTTTTTTGTAGATACACATTGATTGTAAAATACGTACATTATATTATACCACAAAAAAAAATTACAACAACACCTATCGTTAGTTATATGTATATTCATGTATGTATGTATCTAAATGTATATACAGCTATCAAAAATAATGGAAATAGAAATTGAGCATTGTTTTTATTTTTATTATCAACTTACTTCTTTTTCCTAACTTTTCGCCTTCATTAGACTAAGTACAGCCAACGGTGGCAAAAAAAATATATATATATATATATATATATATATATATATATATTTATATACTATACATCTTATAGCTATTGCAAAAAAAAACTATCGCTTCAACATTTAATCACTAACTGCAATAATGATCAACAACTGGTCACGTTGCCTAACAATTCTCTATTTGAAAACAGTATATTTATATTTATGTATATATATGTGTGTGTATATATATTTATGTATAGTTTAGCTATTTATTGATATATATATTTACGGGTGTATATATGTACGAATTAGAGCTTTATCTTTAGGTATACACATTTAAGAGTGAAAGTTAACTTTAGGTTGCACATTGATTTTAATTCTTTGTTCTATGAAACACACATGGAAATATACAAATACATAGAACTACAAGTATAGTAGAAGTATACATAAATATGTGTTAATACTATATGTATTAAGAGTTTGTATATTGTATTAATGCCATGCACAAATACATACATACATACATACATACATACAAACTTACATACGTGCACAAAATGTGTGCCCCCTTCGCCAACGACTTGCAAAGAAATCGACAGAATTGACAAAACAAATGCCAGAGAATAACACACTTGATTGATTGCAATATTGACTGATTGTTTGCTTGACTGGCCGTCTGCACTGCCATGCTGACTGTCACTGCTGCCACTGCACTTTACAAATTGTTGCAGCTCAAATTTCTAGTTTCCAAATTGATTTTCCTCGCTCGTTTCCCACGTCATCTACTATGTACTATACTTGTAAGTACTAGGATAATTCGATAGATTCAATTTTAACTTTTTAAATCGCTGTTTTGCTTTTGTTTTGTTTTTTGTTTTTTTTTTTTTGGTGAAACTGTATATATGTACGTGTTTTCGCTAATACAGTCATACGATCTCTCCATGCGAGCCTTCGCCTTTGAGCTTGATTCAATAAACGCAATTATTGTTTTATTGCGGTTTTGTTCTCTGTTCTGCAGGCATCTGTTTATGTGGCATGTGGCATGTGTTTATCGGTGAGTGTGCATCGATGCTTAATTTGTGCAATCACACACATACTTTACACACACACATGCACAGTTACCATACTTTAGTTAACAGCTCACTTAGCTAGGCATTATTGTTTGCTTACCAATTATAATACATGCACATTATTGATATTTGTTGCTTATTGTATGCATGTATGTTTATTTAAATTAATTAGTATGTCGTTGTAAGCTCATTGCATTACAATTAATTAACATGCAATTGTTGGGTTATTTAGCATTCAGTACGAGTATGTACACATGTGTGTATGTATGTACTTATGTATGCCTGTATGTATGTATGTATCTGGTTTTAATACTTACATACAAGTATATGCCCACAGTTTTTAAAAGTCGTGTACATTTAACAAAGTGGCTTTTCAGTTGCAGCCACCACTATTTTATGCACTCAATTAACATTTTCCCATTACATGCTGCTGATAACATTATTGTTCTAGGCATTATGTTTCTATTATTTATATGGAACATTAAGACCGCATCGAAAATTGTGTGTGTTTGGTAGAGAGCCGTTATTTACAATTCGGGCATTCGCTTCTCTGTGACATTTCATGACATTTCCATCGCAACCCAATTCCCAGCAAATCGATGTATTCATCGATTAGATAGTGTAATACAAGTATTTTGAAAACAACATTTTAAGCTTAACAAAGTGGCGGCCATGTTTAGGCCATCCCTTTTCTAATTACTGTCTATTCGGGTGCTCAAGCTACTTACATACCTAAAAGTATATTGCAAGTAGAGCAGGGCGATCTCAATGGATTTGAGGCTTTTGTAGCCCAACACACTGATCCTACTTGATAGTCAAGGGCAAGGGTTTGCCACAAAATCGGCATAGTCCTAAGCCAAATAAACCCGAATTTCAAATAATACTCCTGCACATTCAACTTCAAGGACTCAACAACAATGTACATTTGTGTATGAAAATAGGTTTTTTAAGGTCAGCATAGAAAACAGTTGCCATTTTTTAGTCTAACAAATAAAATTCAAAATTTAACAACATTTTGCTCATGTGTTCGCCCTGCTAAGCAACTAATACTCAAATCGATTTATAGCTACTATGAACGACTTTAAGATCCCTATGCTTATAACTATATTATAGGAATTAAATTGGATTCATTGCTCAATTGCTGGAGTTGAGTGTAGATTGAACAGCAAACCAACTGCTAGCTATGCAGAATGGAAATAAAAGAGTGCCAATTGCGTATACGTATGGGAATACTGCTTCCCAATTGGCTAACAAGCTTGATGGTGCTAGTGCAGGACAACTTTTAAGCGGTGCTTGTCTGTACTGAAATCCAGGAAATATAAAATAAAAATGAGGAAACAGACGGACATTATTAAGAATTAATACATGGTCTGTTCAAAGTAAAAGGTGAATTTTGAATATTTTTTTGAAAAGTATTTATTTTTTCATCAATATCAATTTTATCCCCTTTAAAGTAATCTCCCTCAGATATAATGCACTTAGGCCAGCGCTTCTTCCAATCCTCGAAGCACTTCTGAAGCAAAACGCTTTTCTTTCATTATTCTCTTCAGTTTTACGAAAAGGAAAAAGGGCAAGATGGATCTTTTTGAATAAGTAAATGCGTTTTAAGGGAATTCAAAATGCACCTTTACTTTTGAACAAACCTAGTATATATACATATACATATAAGCAAACGTTCCATAACTTCCTTGTATTCCTTATTAACCATACGACCTGTTGTCAAGACCTCCTGATGCACCACGCGAAACCTTCACCTTTTCTTTTAAACAGACCATGTATGTAACTGTGTGTCAAATATATTTTAACAATCTTAATATACAAGTACCAGTTTCATTCTTCGAGTCCAAGGTATACAAATTCTATTCAAAATCGAAAGGCAATTGTAGAAATTGTAAATTATAAAATAGAATAATCAATTCGTATTCGTATGGATATTTCCACAAGTCTTTTTTAATAGCATCCACTATACAGAAATATATGATTGAAGTCGAGGCAACTGTTTTCTGATGCAACTGACCCTTCGCATTGTTCCAGCTACTCACACACATAGCTCTTGCACATGTTGCTGTTGCTGCCTTTCAGTCACATGTCCAGACCAAACAAACATGCAACAGCTAACAATTAGTGAGCTGTTTAATCAAAAAACAAAAGGAAAGGGTAAAAGAAAGCTTAACTTGATCGAAAGCTTACATTCTTGTAATTCTAAATAGTATATATACAGCACATACTATATTACAAGCTAAGTTAAGTTACTAAGTATTTGGATATTGAGGTTAATTGATACTGATATCTATATCGGCAGAGCCACGCTTACACGCATTGGAAACAAGAGGAAGAATTACGAGTACAATATCGAACATCAGTCAACATTTAGGGGCCACGCCAACAAACAACTGATCGCTGAACTGCCTGATGATTTTCGAAGTAAGCTTTTGAGCTCTGCCCATATGCGATTCGAGATGGGAGTCTTAATATCCCTTATTACTTGTATCTCAATTCTCAAATCGGCTATTAGTTCAGAAGTCAGCTTAGCGCTCAGCTCTTGGTGTGTGTGCGCCCTTAGAAGAGGAAAAGAAATAGGGTCTGTTAATTACATACATATACTTACTATAGATACTGTGAATTAGTAAAACGAAAGCAAATCACAACTACTTGTTAGTATATATACTATACTACGTACACACATTCACATTGCTACACATTAAAATATTTGTATAAAAAAAAACACTCCATCAACAATAATGCATTTATGTTTGCATTTCTATTTTTATCTTAACATACGTACACACGTTCGTGTAAGCGTGGGTGTGTGTGTGTGTGAGTGTGTGTGTGTGTGTACTGGTGTGTGTATATTACGATTATATGCCAACTTATTGGCTATGCTATAAAATTGCTCTGCACCTAGAAAAATAGTTAAATTTCTTTCCTTACGCTTACTTGCTGCTTCCTCTTTTACAAATACCTGAACATTACTTGTATTTATTTTGCTTTCACTTTTTATTTTCATTTTTTATTTGCCTCACAACTAATCGCTCGCTTGCGTCCACAAAAAATGTGCTGCACGCACCTGTTATGTAAATACTTATATGCTTGTATGCTTGTATATGTACTTGTATGTATGTAGTAGGTAGTTTGTATGTATGTAGGTACAATTTTCATTTCATTTGTAAATTTGTCGCCAACAATTTGTCTCCCTATACACACATTCCTTGCGATAATCACAAAACTTACCTGCACTGTTGCCTTAATTTGTTACTATTACTGCTACCATTACTTTTACTGTTACTTTCACTATTTCTGCTACTATTGCTGTTAATATTGTTGTTGATATTGTTCCTGCTTCTGTTGCTGCGCATAATGCTTATGTTTATGTTGAAGTTGAAGTTGATGCTGCGGTTATTGTTTACTTTTATTTGCGATATCAGAGATGCAAGTAGCACGCAAGCGGCCATGACGAAATTAGCTGAAAAGGCACCAAATTCAAATTACAATTACATTATTTAATATTGAACAAGAAAGGAATGCTAAAGTCGAGCGGGCTCAACTCTTAAATACCCTATAAAAAAATACAAAATAATAAATTAAAAAAATGTATTTAATTAATTTAATAAATAAAATTTAAATAATAAAATATAAAATATTTAACACATGCATACAGACATAAGTGTTTATGTACAATTTTCAACAGCATACATTTGCATCAGAATCGCGTCTATGCGTGCTTGTATGAAGTAAAAAAATAAGTCAAAGCAGCAACCCCTGCCGGCAGAGCTTGGGCAGAGATTATGTTTATGGCTATAACTTTCTTCATAATAAACCTATCGTGATGAAACTTGGCACACAGGCACATACTTGTAATCACAATATGGATGTATTTGCCATAGATTTGTATAGAAATAGAAAATTCCAAGAAATACGGGAGTTACGGGAATTATGGGAAAAACACGAATTGCGGGGGAGTGGGGGGTGCATCAGAAAAAAAAAACACAAACTCGTCCTTGCTCGGACTTAGGAGAATCTGGATACCGAGTTTGGTTATTCTTGCTCTTGTACTTCCTGAGAGCCTTGCGATCATACAGACGGACGGACAGACAGACAGATGGACATGGCTATGTCGACACGCCTTGTCATCCTGATCAAGAATATATATACTTTGTGGGGTCTGCCACGCCGCCTTCTGCCTGTTACATACATTCGCAAAAAACTAGTATAGCCTTTTACCCTTTGGGTACAGGCTATAAAAAGGAAAGAATTAAAATAACAACAAACATTTTCTTTCAATGTCTTAAAATTAAAATTCCTCCTAACAAGCGCAAAAATATAATAATACACTATTGTTTATCTAGCCATTTTTAGCGATTTCTCTATCTATTTTCAGTGGGTTTCCTAGACGTTTTCTGTCTGATTTTTAGCGGATATTCTACCCTCCTTTCTAGCTACTTATAATTATTTTTCTTACTATTTTCAAGCGGGTTTTCTAGATTTCCATAGTGGTTTTGAAGCCATTTTTTAGCGGTTTTCTAGCTCGATACCCGAAAGCGATAACCATTTTGTACCTTTTCCATGCCTATTAAGCCTAGGTTTTTAGAGAAAAATCTCTTTTTTAATTCTCCGCACAGCTGGGCACCAGTTCGTTAGCTCGGTTCATTTTTTCAGAATCGAATCAGTTATACTATAGTTGTAGTACGAGTGTACTTTCTCGAATGACCACCAATCTTGGTGTCATTCCGAAGTCGTTCTGGTAACATATTCCGTATTGGACGGAATTAATGAATAGCATTCTTTTTGTGGGGATGACCATCAAAATACCCTCTATCTTTCGAGTACATCGAGTTCATATAAAAGCTTGTGTGCTTTCTAAGCAGTAGTTGTAATCCGTAACGAATTTTGATCCGACCAGATTTTGTGTGCGAAAAAAGTTCGCAAATGGGTCACACCATTTGTTTAATTACTATTATTATTTATTTTGTTTTCAATTGGATCTGGATGTTCTCACCTGCCTAAAGGCCGCCACTATTGTTGGTGCCTCCACTTTACTTGCGTCTCTTATCCCCGATCTATTTGACAAACAGGTCCTTGAGCGTGGCGCACAGAGAGGCATCACACGTATCCTTCGAGTCATCCTCGTCGCCCTTGCTGAACCAATTGAGCGTGGAGCGCATGGCCCGTCCAGCCTGTGATTGGGCAGCGCTACTGACTGATGGACGGCTGCGTCGCGTTGCGCCTCCACTGCCACTCGCGTCCTTCGGTACGGCGCCCTTGCTGCTACCACTGGGTCCACTTGTGCTGCCCGTACGCCCACCCGACGAGCTGCGTCCGCCGCTTCCACTTGCCCCGCTCATGCTCGCAGTGGAGCTCTTGCGCAAGAAACCCTCGATGGCCGTGCCCAACATTGTGGCATCCACAATGTTCGACTTGGTTGTCTCAGCCCAGCTCTTCTTCTGCTTGCTGCGTGGCTTCAACTTTGGCTTCACAGAGTCCCCGCCAAGCGGATCCTTCTTCTGTAAGCGCTCTATCATGTCCTTTGAAAGGGCCATCGCTGTGCTCTTGCTCCGCACACTCTTCTTCCGAGCCATGGGCGTATTTCGCTTCCCAAACCATCCGGAAAGGGCAGCCGAGCTGTTGTCCTGTGCCTCGGTTACCAGCTGCTTCGCGTTATTCAATATAGACACATCAAAACTGTTCGATCGCGTTGAGCGGCCCGCATTGGGATCCAACAATGTGTTCGTCGCATTGGCTGTGCTTGGCGTGGGAGTGGCGCTTGTCGTTCTTCCACGTGCCGCCGCCTGAAATGTGTTGCTCAGAAAGGGGCTGCTAGCGCTGTTGCCCGTTGCCGCAGAGGAGGAAGATGATGCCGTGCCGGTTCCCTCCTCCGGCCGATGCATCTCCATGGCCGACGAGGTAAGTGAGCTAAAGATGGAAGTAATGTCGGTGCGACTGCCCAATAGGCCGCCACCGCTGCCCGATTTCTTGCGTCGTGTGGAGGCACGGTTGCTAGATGCTGCCGGCGGCGGTTGCGGCGAAATGGCTCCCGGATGTTCTGATGCGCGCCGGAATACTTTGGCTCCAGGCGCCATGCCCGGCTGCGGGCACTCCGAGAAGCGTCGATTTGTGTAGCGACGGGGCGTAGCACCGCCCCCCTCGTCCACAGTTTGCACCTCGCAAACCTTTTCATTGCTCGAGGTCCACAGCTTTAAGCGCGCCTTGCGTGACTGCAAATATATGTCATCCATTATATCCAGCTGTAAATTGTGTATGCTTCCAATCGGATCGGTGGAGGGCGGACCTGTATTGCTCTCCCGACGCGAGTTAAGCACGCGACTGCTGCTGTAAATAAAGGAGAATTCTGATATTGGAGCACAGGTGCTGGTATTTTCAAAATGATTTTATAAATTGTGAGCTGCTTTGGTTGACCACAAAAAGTACCTATAACTTCTAATTAGTCTCACTGCGGAAGGAAACCAACTTAAACTACAAACATACATATGTACGTAACCACGTGCTTCGGCAACTTTAAAAGAATGAGTTTCTTTTTGCGATTAAATTTGTCGACATTGGTCGATGTCACTTGGAAAATATACTCTATGAAGGGCAGGACACTGACTTCTGAAAATCAGTTGATTTAACAGGCGGGTCTTGGGCTGGAAGGAAGAATTCTTTGAGTGCAGTACAAAATACATTTAATTTTCATTTGTTGTTATGTTATAGAAACCGTTTCAGGTCCTACCATTACATTAATATGCAATATATTTGTGTCTATTTTAAATATTTATTTCATTAAACATATTAATTCTATTAAATGAATACCATATATATATATTGGCACTATTTCTCAAATCTGAACAAGAGAGAATGTTACAGTCCAGCAAGCCCAACAGTGCAAATACCCTATATCCAAACGAACTTCCGGCACTGAGCTATAAGCGTCCATAGCAGACTCAAAAAGAAGGAGAGCAAACGTACACCTACAATTCTTGGATTGCATTTATTCCGCTACTAACTTTTTATCTTCAGCTTTTGGAAATTGTGGACAATATTCAGGAAAGTCTGTATATCAAGTTGGCTCAGACGTTTCTGAAATCCAGGCGTTCATCTAGACAGATGGACATTCTCTCATCATCTTGCTTAAGAATATATGTACATATATGCTTTATGGATATATATATATGTTTCCTGCTTCATGCCTATCCTTCGGAGTTCAGGTATAAAAATATATATCTATGCTCGTAGTAGTGCTTAAATCTGACACCTACAAGTATAAATACTTGATTGGGAAAATTACAGCTACTTTAGGACATACCCATTGGCTGTGGGATAAGCGGCCACAGATTCGCGACGTGAGCGTCCAAACAAAGTGGTGGGCACCTTCGAAATTGTGACCACTGAATGCCTGCGTCCTGATGGTGCGGGCGCCTGTGAGAGCGTGGCCAGAAAGGCGGCCTCCTTCGGCGATGGCCCCGAGCCCTCACCACCGCGCTCTGACAAGCGACGCACCTGACTGGCGGTAATCCCCTCAGTAACCTGCTGTGAGGGCAACGAGTGTTTGCGCGCCTCGCGCGGATCACGCCACGGTGATAGCAAATAGGGATTGACGGGTGAGTCAATGTCCAGACTGGCACGATTCGACACAGTCTCAGAGCTATCCGGTTCAAGTTCTTCTGGCAAATTGGACTCCTCGACCACTATAAGCGGCTCCTGTTTTCCATGCGGCACATTGTGATGAATGCCAGGGGCGGCATTCGAGCCGCCCGCGGAGCCACCGCCGCCACCAACGCCACCAACGCCAAAGCGTGAAAATGGTGAACCACGCAAGCGTAGCGCATCTGAAAAAGAAAGAGTGGGGGAAGGTCAAAGGCAAAGCAAGTAATAAAACACAGGCAGGTTCATTAGTGGCAGGCGTCGTCTTACCCATTTCAATAGCTTCTCTTAATTGCTCGCCAGCGGGGAATTCGTCTGTGCTGTGCCCTTACAACTCCTGCTGTTCCTTACTCTGCAAAGAAGAGAAAACATTCACAATTAGTCATCATGTTAAACAGGGCTTCAGGCTTCAAATTAGCTTGAAACTATTTAGAGAAAGCCTGTCGCTATACATACGTATATTCGTACCTATGTACAAGGGCAGCTTTTACCGAAGGGGGGCCAAAAAATTAAAATTTTGATTAAATAGTGCGCGACGCATTTAAAAAATTATTTATGCATATGATCAATGAAAGAACTTCAACAAATTCAACTCAGATCCATTGTAGGGCGAAATAGTGTGGTCGACTTTACTTGTATATGGCAAAATTTGTGTAGGGGTAGCAAGGCCCCACCCCCCTCCCCCTCAAAACAATGCTACATTTTTTGAATTAAGCTACACTAAACAAATAAAACGTGGCCCTACATTAGTCTTATTCTTAAAGAATAGTTCCAAAAATTGGTAATTCAAAATTCACTTTAGATTTATGCACCAAATCGGGTTATGGCAACCCTAAATAAACAAAAAATATACTTTAAAACAATAAATGTTTCGCTGATCTTCTTCCGACGACAGCAACATAAAGTAATGAGGGCTTGGTCAGAATTTGAACAAAAGGAGTTGGTTTTCCTACGGTTAGACAAACGGATAAGTCATTTCTTGTTGAATTTAGACAGTCAGAAAAAAATAGCATTTGGGCACAGAATATATAGTAAATATGATTGTCTGATCAACTTTGTGGAAAACTGTCATTTTTAATGGCCAGATGAAAAATATTTCGATTGTTCAGTTTCTTGCTTTTTTCGGTAATCTTAATAGCTATTAATTATACTGAATTGTCCTTCTACTTTGAGGTAATTATTTGTAGTGTTTTAAAACAGAAAAGCGAACAGTTTGCGGGTGTATGGTAGTAGTACTGGAATGAAATAGTTTACTTAGAATTTGCAACAATAGTAAAAATACCTTATTTATTACGAGTACAGATTTAAGTTTATCTAGCTTTGTGAGCAGTATTGACGAAATTCAGTAGCGTGGAAAGGGGAGGTGAAATCAAAAACTAAAATAATCTCATGTTGTCTGGATATAAGGAGGGTCTACATACCAAGTTTGGCTTATGTGCCCTTAGCCGTTTCCGAAATCCAGGCGTTCATCCAGACGGACGGTTGGACGGACAGACGGACATGTCTAAATCAATTTCCTTCTGTTTACATACTTTTCACCATATGGGTACAGGGTGTTAAAAAGTTGCCTGCTTTATTTCAAAGCTATCCAATATTCGAATGTTCAGCTCGTGCCAAACTGATGGACCCCTTTTCGAATTAAAGCTTTCCAGAAGAAAGCCTTTGCATCCCTGATATAAAGAGCCCGCTCATGTGTAGTACTATGTAGGACTTTGTGTTTGTCTGGTCCTAGTTTGTCATGTGTGTGTGTGTGTGTGTTTCTCTTTGCGGTCTCAGGTTAAATAAAGCATCCGTCGCTCACGCAGAAACACACACGCCGCAAATACGCACACACAGTAGCACACGCATGCTTGGACTACTCATTATCTTTGTAACAAATTACAAATAGCAGAAAATCATGCATCAAAGTAATTAAAGCTTTGCCGCTGTCCAGGGATTTGCCGACAGCTTCCTCTGTTTGCTTAACAAAGTCACTTAAATGCGTGTTCGTGGCTGATTTGTGCCTGTGCATATCTGTGTGTGTGTGTGTGTGTGTGTATCTATGTATATATAGTATATATGCATGTGTCTGTGGCTATGAGTGCTCGTTGTCTGACTGGCGCAGAAGGTCCATAATGAGCATAAAATTATGCAGAAGTTGAAATGAAAATTTGCCATAACTCAAATACCGCAAGAGTTTTATTTGCGACGCAGACTGCCACTGCGACCGCACTCGATGCTCTGATGCCGACGCTGTCGCCAATCCGCCGCCGCCGCCGCCGCCGCACAGTGGGGCCTTAGCATAAATCTCGTCAAAAAAAAAAAGAAGTGTGAAAATAACAGGCAAGAAAGAGAAGAAAGAGTTGACACATGTCTAAATCGGTTTGTTTCTTAAGTAAACAGTGGGAAGTGCAATTTTTCAAATCATATACAAGGACGACTGGAATTCATGTATTCATGAATATCTAAAGCCTCCATAGAGTGAAGGTAGCGCCAGTCTAACACATCTCCGGAGTCTTATGGTCATGTAAATATTCTAAGAGATTATACGAACTTCAAGCGTTTAATAAGAACAGGATTCGAATAGTAACATAAGATTGAGATGCATTGGAAAGAAATATAAAGTATTCAACACCTTCTATACGACTGTTCTGCACTTATTAGATGTATTTTGGGCAAACCATTCTATTAAGACCTGGGCTGTTTGATAATCCTATCAGTCGGGGGCCAGCTTCTTTTTATTGTAAAGTTATTAGCGAAACAATCTAGCACTACGCTGCCAAACTACAGCAACGTTGGGAGCATGTGAATTATTTGTTCTATATGCGATCATTAATACATCGATTGATAAACAAAAAAAAATTAAACTTTTTGAATTTTCAAGCAAACTTTAAAGACAAAAACAACTTTTGTAATTACTTGAAAGGGTCTTGCTGCGAAAGGAAACATCAATGGCTCATCAATAAACCACCAAACTGTATTTACTTTACGCATAATGATTAATTTCCATTAGTAGCAAGCTCATCAGGCGGAAAATTATTTGTCAACACAATGCAGAAACATCAAAGTAAATGCTGCTGATAAGCTTAAACTGTGTGTCCTTAATATAGCACAAATAGAGGGCTTCCCATTGAAGACCAGTTATACTTATTAGCTACCCAGTACCCTTAATTTCCCGCTTCTTACTTAGTTTGCTTACACTTGTTTGCGTCGTGAATCAAACGTTATTTTTGCTATTAACTCAAATGAACAATTAAATGACAATAGGCCGCCCCGAAGCAAAGACTTCTCAAGTTACCTTATAATGAATGCAAAACAATTAATTGGAACTATTTACGATTTATTAATAATCAATGGAACACGGCAGATGATGCCACTTACATGTGTGTGTGTGTGTGTGTGTGTATTAATAGAAATGTTGTTCTTATTTACAATTAAAACAATCAATCAAAATTTGCTATATAAATACTTTACAATACTACTATACTTTAGTAAGGCTTTCGACCATGGCACGTTTGAGTTATTGATCTATAAGTTGGGGCTTTGGGGTTTCCCAAAAATCGTATTGTGTGGATATGTAACCATTTGTTTGACAGAACACAACGTGTTATCCTTAACAGCGTACTATCACAAGATGTTAAAGTAAGTTCAGGATACCACAGGGTAGTCATATATGTAGATCCTTTACTTGTAAACCTTTTTATAAACGATCTTCCATCATCCTTAACCCATTCTAGGGTCCTAATGTAGATGATTAGATCAAGATTAGATAAAGAATACTGAATAAGATATTTTATATATTTTGATATAAATTTAAAATAGTTTAATTGTTGTTCTTTAAAATCTCTACTTCTTTTTAAAGAATTATTGCTATTTTGTAATTTTAATTTTTCATTGTTTTTCTTTTCTTTTTTATATGAATGAATATTTATTATATTTGTTCTTTGTCAGAATAAGTAAACGATAATTATTTCTCATTGCTTTAATATTAAACAGATTTGTGTGCCCAGCATTGTGATCTTTGCTCTCATTTTATCCGAGAATAAACAATCAGATATTGTATACTCTCCTTAATGCCACATTGCGAGCAACTTCAATTAACTGTTCCCTCTTTGGGTAGAAGATTTAAAAGCTGTGAACAACTGAAGAATTGTCTATTAACTCCACTCCGCTAGTTAGCCTCATTAATGAGGCTAAAGGAGGGCGCAATGCCATAATATTTACATAAAAGCCAGTACGAATACCATAATACTCTGGGGCAAATGATTGTGCTGTGCACTGTCGCAACGAAAACTTTCTAAAATTAGCCCTTTCTTGGCCTGCCAATAATATGACCACTCTAATGAGCAATCCGACACTTGTCCAGCCAAACCAACCCAAGTTTATGTCACTTTGCGTCAATGCTGCCCCTTCCCCGGGCGCATCATCCACGAACTTCCCATGCGGCATTTAACAAACGCAAATTACATAAGCAGCGCGGCAGTGGCATATAATTTCCTTCGCTGCCTTTTGATTTCATTAGGCAAAAAGGACACGACAACAACTTGCATTAGTCGCCACCGTCATGGTTGAGGGTCGGGAGACGTCGGTTGTGCTGCTACATCCACATGGAGCCGAGCCGAGCCGAGCCGAGCTGATCTGATCTGAGCTGAACTGAGCTGCAATGGTCATAGCAGGACTTGGCGCAAGTTCATTAAGCTTGTAAATTGGCAATCAACACCAAAGTTGCGGCTTTGTGTTAAAGTTAATTAGCCTGTCTGTGCCACTGACACAAGAGAGCGCAACACTCTCATCGCAGCATCTGCGATGCCACGCTACGGATATAACCAAAGGCCTGAAAGCAGCAATCGTCGAGTATCAACCAAACTGTTTTGGGCCATTGTTGTGGTGGCTGCACGGCGAGAAAATTGCTACTCAATAAACAAATAACGCTAATTGAACGTTATTATTATATAGTAACTAATGAAAACGACTATTATTTTAGAACATCACCTGAAGCTTTATTTGAAAAAAAAAACATCGGCAATTTCAAGCTACCAACAAATTTGTAAAGTTAGTTTCGATTTTTAAATAAAAACAGCATCTTCTTGTTATCAACTAGTGAACTATTTTTTTCAGACACAAACATGTGAAGCAAAAAAAAAAAAAAAAAAAATTCAAGTACAAAACTTTCAAATGTTTTTAAAATACGAATTGAAATCGGTATGCATTTTTTTTTAATATTTTAAATATTTTTTTATTTATCAACTCTTCTCTCTTAAATACAAGTAGAGGCAAATGTTAATCTAATATATT